CATTCGTGCAGTTTACCAACCCAAACCATCAGTGATAAGGATTATATAAACGTTATTTTACAGATTTCCTATTACATAGTTTACAGTTTGTTTTTGCATAGCTAGCTTAAAAAATGCAGCTACCTACGGGGCAGAGAAACAGTCAAACAAACAACTGAGCTGCGCAGGCGCTTCGGTGGGATGAGGGTGGGGACACCCTTTTTCTTTCTGCGTGGCCGGACCAGCTCAGACCGGATCAGCTCAGACCGGACCAGCTCAGACCGGACCAGCTCCAGCCCCGCCAGCCCCGCACTCCAGCACTTCGGACTCCGCAGCCTTGAGGGCCTCGGCGCAGCAGATCTCACCATGACCAGCTTGGAGAGTTTAAAAAATGACATCTTGAAAGCCCTGGAAGAACAACATGAAATCCTGAGAGGTGCCATAGATGCCTCTTATGCCCTGTTTGTTCTCCTCGCTATTATTTTAATTTTTGTTGCTTTTCATAAATTCTGGCCTTGTAATTGTGTGCGTGAAGTGTGCAGTCGTTTGCGTGACGTGTGTAGTTGTTTGTGTAGATGGTCTCCCTTATCCCCTGAAAATAACAAACCTACACCCCCTACCCCCCCACACCTTCCACCTCTAACCCTTCCCAGCCATAATAGTAGTGCTAAGGAATTGTTAGTTGTTAATGTTGATCGTTAGTTGTTAATGTTGATCGTTAGTTGTTAATGTTGATTGTTAGTTGTTATAATTGATAATTGTTGATGAGTTTTCACAGTTCCTTTCTGCTATCACCGTGGATGGAAAACACTGGTCGGAGTTGGACTGTTAAGGACTAAACTTTCCTGGGACTTATACCAGAATGCTGGACAAAAGTGAAGACATTGATTCGAGGAGACTGGTAGCAGATAAAAAACTGTTTGGACTTTTGGGGACTTCGGGTTGAGGGTGGTTGTTATCTTTGTAATTGTTCTTAAAATTTTTATACAATTGTTGTTTATATTGTTGTTATTTTTAGCTGATGCTCTTTTCCTACTTTTCTATCCTTTCTTCTCCCGTTAGTGCACATGTGCTGGCCTGCAGCTCTGCTGTCTAGGCAGGCAAGCAGTAAGTGTGCTAAAATTTCCTATTTTCCTTATCTATCTTTCAAAACCACCACGGAGGAAAAACCCCAATGTTAAGCCACCCAGGAAGTAGCATTGGATTGTCGAGCCACGGGGTGATGTGGCATTCAGAATTTACAGTGTTTGTCTCCAACAATCCAAGAGATAAGTGATGAACTCGGGCACTCAAGATATCTGTTGAGTGTCTTGTGGCATCTGAGGAACAACATCTGTCGAGATCTGCAGACGGACTGAAGAGATTTGCAGCTGTCTCTGGGAGCAGGATGCTGCCAGTCGTCTTATCCTCCCCTTTGTTATGCAGAGACCTCAGCAAACAGAAGACCATCTGCAGGACTTAACCTGGTGCCATACCTTGGGACTCTATGGGTGGGGAAGAGAGAAGAAGAGGAAGAAGAATTACTTTTCCACAAGGAACCACTTCCCCACCGACGACATCGCTGCACCGTGGGTGGTAACTGTGCTGTCGCTTGCTGTCCTCTGTCTCTCTGCTTTCTCCTCTCTTTTCTGTCTCTGCTTTCCTGCCTGTCCTGTCCGCTGTAGGGACCTTTGCTCTGTTACTCTAATAAAAGTTTGTTGTGCACGTGACATCTGACCTCGTTTGCGTCTTAATTTCACCTTTATTTGGGATCACCTTTATAAGAAATTGCCACGTATCCGAATACCGGATCGTGACAGCCGGGCATCCAGAGCTGTCTGGAGTTCCTTCACACCGGTTTTAGCAAAGGGATGTCCTGTCGGATCTCGGGGTATTTCCCTGCAGGTTTCCCTGATGTGAAATCCTCCCGATGGGAGCAGCTCTGTGCTCCTGGGCTGCCCCATCAGCTCACCCTCGCTGGAAAATAACGCTGAGCTCCTAAAACATACATGAAGTAGTCTAAATAGAAGTTAAGACCTACTGGATCATTATTACAGTCGGATCTGATCATCAGTTGCTCGAGGCCGGTTCCTTTCGGCTG